TGATTTTTCTCTCAGTGCATTGTGATTCTATGTTGGGCTCTGTAAAATTTTATTTCATTTTTTTATTTTATTTTATTTTATCAATAAGGTTGTGTTTATTTTACCAAAAAGGCAGTAAATAAATGCATAATTATCATATAAAATTATGCTAATATCTTTAATAAAAAAATGACAATTACATTTGGTAGGCTTAGCAAGAATAATGCAGTCCAATGAAATGAAATGAAATTATTTATTTTATCAATAGGGATGTATTTTTATTTATTTTTTTACTAAAAAACAGTAAAAGCCAGTGTGCCGTGGTAAATACAACATGAAAATAAGTATATGATTATCAACTAAAATAAATTGTTATGTTGAACTGGCAATGAAATTTGACAGTCGTATCAATAATAATTCAGTCTGATTTCTCTGGTTTTATTATACATTTACTATAAAAAGAACTCTAAAATTGTAAATATTTTTTCACATAATAATACAAATTTTGCTAGTTAAAATACAGTTTTTTGTTCAGAATTGCAGTATTATAAAGTAATATAAAGTTTTTTAACTGGCGAATGACATGATCTAGGGGTCTCCGTCATCTTTGATGTGCACATTTGCGAGTTCAGGAGGCGTGGACGACAGGAAAGGGATTGTATTTGTATTGTATTAGCATTTAGGCAGAGCACCTACTATTGAATTTTCCTTCAGACCTTCTCTTTATAAAAAAAATCAATTTACCAATGTAAAGATTTGGTGCTCAAGAATTTAATTTGATCAATATTGAAACCATTTGTGCTGCTTAATATGTTTGTAGAAACCAATACATTTTAAAGGTATTTTCTTCAGTGAATAGAAATTATTTGAATAATTGATTTAACATAAACATCATTTTGAAACATTGTTAACGTTTTTACTTTAGCTTTTGATTGATTTAATACAGAGTTCATGAAACCTGACTAATTAAAGATATTGATTTCTTTTTCTACTTCTTTTTTTTATCTTAATGATCCAAAACATTTGTGGAAAAGAAAAAGCTGCTCTTGTGAAGACAATAAAAGCTGTGAAGTGGAAGAGAGAATTAGCTCTGCGGCAAGAAAGATGTGTACACACAACATAAGAAATGAGAAAAGGAGCTGAAGGCATGTACAGTATAAAGAAGAATCACGATTAAGTCCTGAGGAAAAATGAAGAAAAGTCTTTGAACAATAACCCGAAAGACAGTAAATTAGCTATACTGTATGTATCACAAATGACAATCCAAGCAGAACATCATATTAAAATGTACCTAAAGACACCACAGGGAGGAATTTCTAATATTATTGGCTTACAAACACAGCGGACACAGATATTGATATGTACAACTGTGCCCCGAAAGAACAATAAATATGCAGTTTTTGTGCTCTGGGATATTTGTTCACATTACAAATCGCTGTCCAGAGGACCATAATTTAATTTGGAATTCATATGATGCTCCTATTTTCTTCATACCAAGCTCATATATGGCTCGAATTGAATCACACATGGAACAGAGGTACACAAAGGAAATTTTTTTAAAAAGCAGACATGTTTACTGTACATTAAGAAAGCTGGATGGAAACATCAAGGTGTACCTTAAATGTGTGCAGGAAGACATGTGCAGTGAATAATTTTGCATTTGCAAAGTATATAAATCAAATTAAAACTCTTTGTAAAACTCTCTGTAAGTTTGTTGAACAATCTCTATGACAAGCCACCTTCTCTTGAACAATCTCTATGACAAGCCCTGCCTTTTCTTGAACGATCTGTATGACAAGCCCCACCTTCTCTTTAACAAGCTGTATGACAAGCACTGCCTTCTCTTAAATGATCAATATGACAAGCTCCGCCTTCTCTTAAAACAATTTGTATGACAAGTCCTGCCTTCTCTTGAACGATTAGTATGACAAGCCCCACCTTCTCCTGAAGAATTTCTATGACAAGCCCCGCCTTCTCTTTCCCAATTTCTATGAAACAAACCCTTGAACAATTGAACAATCTGTATGACAAGCCCCGCCTTCTCTTGAACGATCAGTATGACAAGCCCCACCTTCTCTTGAATAATTTCTATGACAAGCCCTGCCTTCTCTTTACCAATCTCTATGACAATCCCCACCCTCTCTTGAACAATCTGTATAACAAGCCCCGCCTACTCTTGAACGATCAGTATAACAAGCTCTCTATTGGATTTGTCATTTGAAACGTGCACTGAAACGCAACAGGAGCAACATATTTTACATTTTGCAAAAAATGTAGGATGAGGCATGCATTTGCAATGATTCTGGGCATCATTTTTTTTTTTCAAATGAAAGTTATTACTGGTGACACATTATCCCCATGTTTGTGGCCTGCTGATACAGCTAATGTAGTCTGTCTGATAAATGATCGGAGGCTCATGCTGGTTTTAGCTGTGAGCCACACATCTGTTGGCCCTGTGAAGATCAGACTCTGGCTTTGGGGATGGAAAAGTGGCATGATGGGGTTTGGGAAACCTCTGGAGCAAGAAAAGCAGTGCAGATCGCTGACAGACAATATGCTGATTGCAGTAGCAGGGGGATTATATCAGAAGTGGCCCACTAGATTAGCTTTAATAGGGCTGTAAAGCCAAATATCTGCTATGAACAGGTTTTACAGAGTTGCGAGACACACAGGTGTCAGCAATTACTGTAACAAACTGTTTTGACTAGCAGGAACTCTGACAATGAGTTTCATTTATAATAGCACTCTATAATATATATTAAAAACCTCTGTAAAATATACACAGTTGAAGTCAGAATTATTAGCCCTCCTGATTATTAGCCCCCTTTTATATTTTTTCCCCAATTTCTGTTCAATGGAAAGATTTCTTTTATCTTTGCCATGATGAAAGTGCATAATATTTTACAAGATATTTTTCAAGATACTAGTATTTAGAGTGCAATTTACGGGGCATAACTAGGTTAATTAGATTAATTAGACAAATTATTGTATGACAATGGTTAGTTCTTTAGACAACTGAAAAAATATATTGCTTAAAGGTGCTAATAGCTTTTACCTAAAATTTTTTTACTAATGCTCTTATTCTAGCCGAAATAAAACAAGACTTTCCTCAGAAGAAAAAAATATTATAGGAAATACTGTGAAAAAATCCATAAATTGGGAAATATCTGGCAAATATAATTCACAGGAGAATAACTTTGACTTCAACTGTAAATTCTTTTCAATTCAACTCAAGTTTATATTCTTAACAAATGTAAACACATGCATGGAAAACTACTTTATTTAAAACAGCACACATCATTCAGACAATCTTGATTGTCGGTGGTTTATCACACTAAGCATTTACTCTACTGTACTCTACCACCTCTTACCCTAATAGATGGACATTTCTAATAACCTATAAAATAACCTTTAAAACATGATTTCAAGAGTTAACACGAAGCTCATGATTTATAAATAGCTTGTTAGGCATCCTCAGGCCCAGGGCTCCCTCCTTTTCATAGGGTAGGGAAGATTGAGCTCAGGTCAATCTCAAAACTTCCCTGCTGCTGAGGCTAAGGTCAACATCCTGAGAGTAGGAGATTTAGGAAAAGAGACTTAGGCTTACTTTGTCTAAAATATAGAGCATATTTGGATGGTGGGAGGATACCGGGGAACCCGTGGAAAACCCGCGTGGACATGGGGAGAACATGCAAAACTCCGCACAGAAATACCAGATGGCCCAGCGAGGACCTGGAGCCAGTGGTATTCTTGCTGTAAGGCAACAGTGCTAGTCGCTGAGCTGATGTGCCACCCATTCTGGATAAAGATGGAAGTAGGGGAGGAGGGCGGTTTCTTCCAGATGAAGATAGTTGTAGAAAAGAGTTGAGAATATATATTGTGACTTGGGATCTTTTGATTGGAGGATCATGATTAGCTAATGTGGGCCAGCTGGGTCAATCATGAGCACGTGCTCCTCTCGAAATTGCATTAAACTTCACTTAGTGATCAGATGATTCTAAACCACTAAACTCAGGGAATGTTTTCAGTAAATTTCAGGAATCAGTTCAAAAAGAAAGCCAGAGATGGACAGAAAGAGAACAGTGGTGGCCAGCTTTCAGTGAATCATTCAATATTCATGTATGGCACGATGATAGTTTTTACATTTGGATAAAAAGCAAGCCTGCATCTGACTAAAAACACTTTGGATGAGGATTGTAATCGATTTTAAGACAACTACAGTGATATACAAGGTCATACTATACTTTATGCACAGGCCCATTTCAGTACATTGACATTTTGCTTCCCCCCCACACAATCCAGGATTTTTTGAATTGTGTCATGTGTATGCTGCAGTGTTCAGTAATGCTGAATGGACCTGTAGTATAGTACTTTAGTAGATCTGTCTGCCAGGCCAAGACAGTTGGTTTAGGGATTTTTGGTGTTTATTTATTTGTTTGTTTAACATATCCATGTGATCCTGCTCAATATGGCAACTCCACTTGCCTAAAATGTATGCACGCTCTAAAAAGCTCCAAGATTAGTTGTTAGACTGTACATTTATAATATAATTACAATATTTGATTGGTATCCTTTGGGATTCTTCAAGTGTTTATTTTAGGAAAGACATCTACATTATTAACTAAAGCTTCAATTGTTTTTCAGTCAATCTGTTTATGAATGGTTTATGTAGAGACCTTTTCAGTAATTCAAATCACATAGCACATGCATTCATCCAATCAAAAATAAGATCGCATCAAACTTCAACATACGAAAACCCAGGAATACCAGTAAATCCTTGAGGGCAAAACTAATCTGGTGTGAAATCCAGGATTTCTATTAGTAGGGGTTTACACTAGCCTAGGGTGAACAAAATCTAGCATGAAAAAAGCATTATAATTCAACACAGCTACTTAGCATCTCCTTGAGTATGTTTCTGAGCATGTAGATCAACACAATTACTAGTAAATTAGAGTCATTGTGAGACGTCCGCTTAATGAGAGAGACTCTGACTGTGAACAAGTGAAGGATGACAAACTCACTCTCTCATCCGCTGGATTCTGCCCTCAGCCATGGACATATTGATGCTACCGACTCCCAGAAAACCCAGCTGAGGCTTCTCATTCTCTGTTTCAGCTCCTGGAATGTACAAAACAAATATGCAACATCAATTAAAAGTTCAGACTCATTTCACTTGATTGAATTTGTTTCTCTGGACGTTTAATAATCTTTTCATATCAGGCTCATGCTAATTGTTATAAGGCTTTGTAGACGAATATAAATTGCTCATCCACATTATACTGTATACTAGGGATGTGGATTGCAACTCATTTCAATATATTTAAATGAAAATCTTGTCAACAGCTATTAAATCACCTAGTCTAGTCTCCAGAGAGTCAAAAAAACTTAATGTACTTCCTAAATAATCCATTTTGAATAGTCTTACATAGTGAAAAACACAAAACACAGAATATATATATATATATATATATATATATATATATATATATATATATATATATATATATATATATATATATATATATATATATATATATATATATATATATATATATATATATATATATATATATAAATAACACATTAAACTTCTCTATAGATTTATTCAACATCAATAAATAGTATTAATCAATAAATAGTACTATAAGTGCAAACTCAATATTATTAGCAGAATTATTATAATAAATGATGAATTAACAATGTAAAGGTGTTGTTTGTTAAATACTGCTTGCTTTACAGTGTTGAACATGCTATTTGTAAGTGAAAAGTTATAAGAAAAACTAGGCAACTATCCATGTAAGGGTATTATATTTGTTTGGATATCAATAGTTACTATTGTTTGTCACGTGGTTCTAATTGAAGTTGTTTCACATTTAAATCAGTATAAAATGTACAGAATTTTCTCTCATAACTGGTAGTTTATACTATAACATTAAATTTTTAAACTCTGAACCTATGCAAGAAACAGAGAAAATGAACACATGCAAAGTAAAATTTAATTTAATTCAATTCAAATTAAAATTATAAAAATTAAAATTAAATTAAATAAAAAATATAAATATACAAATATACAAATACAAATACAAAAATTGTATTAAATAGAAAGAATAAATATAAAACTAAAATATAAAATTTTAATTAAAAATATAAAAATAAAAATAATAAAATTTTATTTAAAACATAAATATAAAAATATAAAAATACAAATAAAATAAAATAAAAATATGCTAATGACTACTCTAAAAATGCTAGATTTTTTAAGATTGTCAAATATGGATGAAACCGGTTGGGTTAAAAACTGTTGGGTTAAAATTTGATTTAATATCTTAAATTTAATTAGAAAAAATAATAAAGTTGGGTTTCATCCATATTTGATTCAACTTTGGGTTAAAACAAACCAGCATTATTTAGACCACTTCATTGTGGTCATGTCATTGCCCCATAAACATTTCCTGCTTGTTATCAAACTATTTCATAACAGTAACAAGAGGCAATTCAATCATAACTTAATGTTAAAATAGCAATCCTAACATTTTCAATATGTGGCTCTTTTGGATTCTCGGAAGCTGTTACATCCCTCAAAATGGTCTAGAGTGTCATTTAGTTGAGTGTCATTCAGTATCATTTAGTCAACTAGTCTCAATTTTAAAGACAGTAAATAAAAAAATATAAAACTATCAAGCTTCTGTTTAGAAAAAATAGCAATAATAATAATAATTTCAAATTAATGCTGTTATTTTGATCTTTCAATCAAAGAATGCTAAAAAAATTAATGTTTTTAATGTTGATTACAGTAAAAAAAAGAAAAAAACTGCTTAAATCAAAAGTGAACTGCTGTTAACTTTCTAATAATAGAAGGATTTGCATCTGAAGGATGCTTCAATGTTGATTCAGTTCATCACAAATACATATTACAGATATCCAAGATCTAAGATGCAGGAGAAAATCATAAACAAGTAACACAGTTGATCTAATCTAGCGCAATAAACGTTTACCGGCTTATATTCAACTTTATTGTTCATGTTAATGAACAAATCTCTAATAAAAAAGCAATTTTTATGAAAGTATATTTTAAAGTTTACGGTTTACATGACATTTTAGATATTCTAAGATAATACAGGATAAAAGGCACCAGGAGAAGACATTTTACACATTACATAAAAGATCTGGTACAATTCAGGCTACACATTTTCTGTAGGCCAGTGCTGAATGAAGTCAGAGATGTGAAAAAGCTGAATTTCTGAGTTGACAGCCACAGTGACATGAGCGTTATGGTTCACCAAGCCAAACCAGTTTGTGTGTGTGTTTGCATGTGTGTGTGTGTGTTTGTTGGTTTGAAAAGTCAGCAGGTGACAAGGACATGTGCACACAGAAATCATGTCTGAGCAGCGGAGCATTGTGTTATGTGTAGGTCAAGTGTGTTTGTGTGTCATTGGTGGAGCAAAACTATAATTATGATAAATAGCAATGCATCAGGGCTCTTCACAATAATTCTTAAGGAGTAATAAAAACCTGTTGTTGTGGCACTTGTGCATATCTTTAACAAATTAAATAAATTATTAATAACAATTCTTTTTCTATTATTTAATTTTTTTTCAAACGTTAATACAAAATTCCAACATTTGATGTCTTGGACCACATCGATCTCTGAACTTATTCTGAATACTCTGACTAAATTTAGAGATTGATGTGGTCCAGGATATTTTGGAGGGTATGTTAAACCTGTAGGTACAGTAAAGTTAAAATATTAAAAAGTGGTTTTTTGTTTTTTTTTTACAAATTTGATTAATCACTAAACATTAAAAAATAAAGTAATAAAAAAATTAATTAGAGATTTAAAAATAACAAAATTAACAACATATATATATATATATATATATATATATATATATATATATATATATATATATATATATATATATATATATATATATATATATATTAATATAATATATAACAAAAAGACAAAATATCAATAGACAAAAATCAAAAAAATATCAAAACTATATAAATAAATAATTGACCAAATGTACTGTAGGTGCGTTTTAGCATTGTAGTTTGTTTAATGCAACTGTATTTTTAAAGGTTCAGTTCTTGAGCTCCATTAGCCGAGTCAGAAGTGTGCCTTAATATTTTTGGTGGTACAGTAACAGGCAGTAATTTTCAGCCACAATTCACTGGTTATTAAAAGTAATGATCAATCTTTTGAATAGCTTTTTGGTTTAATCAAAATCAGAATTACTGCTGCTCAATTTTAACTAAAAAAAAAAACCTTTATTTTTCTGGTTTGTTTTCAATCCATTCTTATTCTTTTGGTTGAACAGATCTGACACTTGTGTTGACACGGTGGCTGGTGAAAAGAAGAAATGGGATCAGCTTAGAAAGTGTTTCTTCTCTTACTGAACCAGAAATACCAAACCTGAACTCACATCACCCATAATGCATTGCCCTGTCACCGCTATCATTTATCTTACTTTAGAGATGTGTCAGCTGAGTTCAGAAGTGAAGAGTAACCTTTTTATTATGGGTATACATGAGGATTACTAATGGATTCTTTTTGTATATTTGGCTTGATAGAAAGAGTTTTTGTTTTTGACTACTTTTGTGAATAATACGTTTTGTCATAATCAAACGACAAATGAATTCATCTGTATGCATGGACATTTTCAGAAATAAATGCTAACTCGAGATGACAAATACCAATGCTCATTTGCAGTGGCCCCAAAATCATTTGTACAATTAATGCCAAATTCAAATTGTACTTGATAACAATGCTAAGTGGCATTTTTTGAAGATACACACAAGCACACTTTTCAAACTAAACATGTTTGTAAGGTTGTAGATTTCAAAAAAACAAATGAAAAGGCGTAAATAATTAATCAATGAACTAAACTAAATGAAAATAATTTTAAAAATGAAACATTTTGAAATCATACCGAAAGTGTCAGATCTGTGTTCTGACTAAATAGTTATTCAGTATTCAGTAAGCATGGTTCTTTGCACAAATAAATAAATAAATTTTATTAACAAAAATAAAAAATATATAAAATTAATAAAAAATAAATTATAAATATATATATATATATATATATATATATATATATATATTTTTTTTTTAATGTTGCAACAAAATTCCAACATGTGTTACCTTGGATCACATTAATCGCTGAATTTATCTCTGAATATTCGGTCTAAATTTAGAGATTGATTTGGTCCAGGATATCAAATTTTGGAAGGTATGTTAAATCTGGAGGTAAAGTTAAAGTATACATTTTAGATTTCAGTTTTGTTTCACTTAACATTAAAATAAAATAAAATAAAATAGATCTGTGTTCTGACTAAATAATTATTTAGTAATCAGTTAGCATGGTTCTTTGCACAAATAAATAAATAAATAAATATTTTTTAACAAAAAGAATAATAACAAATAATAATAATTATAATTTTAATAATAAATAAATAAAACTTTTCAATGTTTGAACAGATTTCCAACATTTGATACATTGGATCACATTAATCTCAGAATTTATCTCTAAATATTCTGTCAAAACTTAGAGATTTATGTGGTCCAAGATGTTACATTTTGGAAGGTACGTTAGGTAAATCCGTAGGTAAAGTAAAAGTATTAAATATATATATTTTTTAGATTTCAGTTTTATTTTATCACTTAACATTTAAAATACATCAAATAAAATAGGATTTATTCAAATTGATTCAAATAAAAAACATTTGCAAGGTATAAAAAACAATGACAAAACATACAAAACAAAACAACAAAAATATACAAGATGAATAAAACGTTTAATTATATTGCAAATTCTATTCTAAGATCTGCAAAATGGCCTGAAAGTTTTCCACGCTCACCATGGAGCAAAACCAATAAAACAAAAGAATAATTAATAGAGTAAAAGCAATAAATAAAATAAAGTATTTATTTTCGACGGCTCATAAAACAATCTGTTTGTTGCATTGAAACAACAAGCAAAAAGACTACATTCAGAGGCTGATGTGGTTCAAGCATACAGTATGAAACTTAAGAAGGTAAAGTGAACCAGGAAAGAAAGCATTGGATATGATTACTCCAGTTCTTTCAATGCGGAAATACACATACAGTATCTGTGGTCAGAGCCTGTAAATAGCATGAATTACATAATCAATGTCACCACAACTTCAAGTAGCAGATGAACAGGCTTCCTGACATCCTCACCTCAGAGTCATCAGGAACACCACAAAACCCTAACAATCGCACACTGGGAGAGCTGAAACTGGCTGATTCGGTTATGGAGCTAAATGAGCGTACTCGCATTTCTTTAGAAGAATGGATTTTTTTTTATAGGTCTTTGACCTTCAATAAGCAGGTCTTTGTCTGCTCTCTGACCTCTATATGTAATTGGGTAGTCAGTATTGGAAAAAGATGTTATATATCTCACACTGGTAATGGAGTGTGGCTGCCAGTGAGGTTCTATTGGTGCACAAAGCGTATCCTGAAAAAGGATTCTTTGGCAAAAGAATTATAGATTTGATGGATTAAGCCCAAAGTATACTACATTTTATATTGTAGATCTTTCTTTAAAAAATGTGAATCAAGCATACATCCATGCAAGTTTATTTTATTTATGGATTAATATACACTAACTGGTCACTTTATTAGGTACACCTGTTCAACTTTCATTGCATTCAGGCATGTAGACATGGTCAAGACAATCTGCTAGAGTTCAAACCCAGCATAAGAATGGGGGAAAAGGTTGATTTAAGAGATTGAACATGGCATGATTGTTGGTGCCAGAGGGGCTTGTCTGAGTATTTCAGAAACTGCTGATCTACTGGGATTTTCATGCACAACAATCTCTAGGAGTTGCAGAAAATGGTACAAAAAAGAGAAATTACCCAGTGAGCTACAATTCACACAGGCTCCCCAAAAATTGGACAATAGAAGATTGGAAAATTGTTGCCTGTTCTGATGAGTCTCGATACCTGCTAAGACATTCAGTTGATAGGGTCAGAATTTGGTGCTAACAACATGAAATCATGGATCCATGCTGCCTTGTATCAACGGTTCAGGCAGGTGACGGTGGTGTAATGAAGTGGGGGATATTTTATTGGCACACTTTAGGCCCATGCGTATCAATTGAGCATCATGTCAACGCTACAGACTACCTGAGTATTGTTGCTGACCATGTCCATCCCTTTATGACCAGAGTGTACACATCTTCTGATAGCTACATCCAGCAGGATAACACACCATGTCATAAAGCGTGAATCATCTCAGACTGGCAAATCTGCAGAAACTGCACAATGCTATCATGTCAATATGGACCAAATTCTCTGAGGAATATTTTCAGTGCCTTGTTGAATTTATGCTACGGAGGATTAAGGCAGTTCTGTAGGCAAAAGGGGTCCCAATCCAGTAGTAGTAAGGTGTACCTAATAAAGTGGCCGCTGACCTTGGGTTTAAGTTAAGATGTTTGATACATTTAATGTTTCTTGTCCTGCTTTTCTTTTAGTTATTTTGTTATTTTTATATATTTGTTTTATGTAAACTTGTAAACACCTTAATGTAAACATGTAAACACCTAAAACCAGGGGTGTCAAACTCAATTCCTGGAGGGCTGAAGCCCTGCACAGTTTAGTTCCAACCCTGCTCCAACACACTTACCTGTAGGTTTCAAACAAGCCTGAAGGACTAAATTAGTTTGATCAGGTGTGTTTTATTAGGGTTGGAACTAAACTGTGCAGAGCTGCGACCCTTTTGGAACTGAGTTTGACACCTGTGCCCTAAACTATTCATGTCGTGTAGGATTTTTGCCACATTTTGTGACAGGATAGTCTATACACACGTTTTTTTGATGCTGCCTACCAATGTTTTTTTTTTTTCTCTCCCATTCAGCGTATGTTATCAAACATTACATTAAAATGACACAAAGTCAGCGTGTGCTCGAACAGAAACTCCCCCTTTCATGCAAACCCTTCCCTCTTTCACCACCCGACACCCACCTAAACAAAGCTAGACTCACCCATCTTCCTGACTTTTTTTAAACTGGAGGTATGAAAACACCCTGCTGAGACAGGGGGATTTCATGGCCTTTTGATGAAGTTAGTTTGTTTTGTTATATTTCTTTCTTTGATTTAAGCACCTCTAACTACCTCCTCTCCAACAGATACTGTAAATTGTCATTGTTTCATTGTAAATGTTTATTCTTTCACTATACAAATATTTTCACGTGTTTTCACTGGTATGGGTAATAAATAGTGCTGTCAAAATTTTCCATTTTCCATATATGTAATGCCTGTATTTTTGCAGTCCACTTAGAATCCAACTTGGAATTCAATGTTTACTTCATTGGTATTGATTATTTTGAAATTCAAATAGCATTAACATGCCTGTGTTTTTATTTCTGTAATAAATATGGCTGTCAAGCCAGGATCTTGATGGTTTATTGTCGGTATGTTGTTTACATGAAGAAATCTGTGTTACAAGTTAAACAATAATTCTAATAAACAATTATATTTTTAATTTAAATAGTTTTGCGTTTAAAAAGTCTTGCGTTTACATTAATTTTTAATTTGAATAGCCAAAATTACAAGTTTCAGTCTTTCAAATGTGATTAATGGCGATTAATTTTCAAAAAGTGTGAATAATTGGTTAATTTTTTTAATCGATTGACAGCACTAGTAATAAATAATCAATTGCAGTGATATTCGATCTTCAGTCGTTCTATCTCCATTCACTGGTTACACACACACAAAACACTTTAGCAACTGCATAGCAACTACTCCGAACGCCTTAGCAACCACCTAGCAAGCACTTACTGTAGCAACCAAGTGAAACAGTGATGCATTTTACCAAATTGCTATGCCATGGCAAAGCCCACTCAGAGTTTCTTCAGGAAATGTACATATCTAGTTAAAACTATTAAGTTTTAACCATTAACTATTATGTATTTTATTAAACAGAAATTGGGGGAAAATATACATGATAATTAAGGAGGGCTAATAATTTTTACTTCAGCTGTAAATGTGCTTAATTATTACATTAGGCTGTACTCACCATCTGAATCTCCAACCAGAACGTTCTCCATGTGTCTGATCAAGGCCTCCAGGTCACCGTCCTGTGACACACACACAAAGGGGACACATCCATGCTTCAAACGCACCATATGTTCCTTCTGGTCCACGTACTATGAAATTATAATATTAGCGAAAATAATAGAGCTTCTTCTGTTTAGGATCAAACAGTGGCCAGACTCCCAGATGACAGTCTAGCCACACAGAGGTGTCGAAAACACAGATCCTATAAAACACATTTCCAGATCAATGAGTCTCCCGTCTGAAATCATAACATGACCTGGAGGTGGAAGTGGGAGCAAGAGAGAGGCTACATTCTCCCTTGAGGTGTTCACCTTGTTATGATGAAAGCCTTGAGGAACGGATGGACTGAATGAGGCTAAAGAAGAGCTAAAGGTCTATCAGCAAAATAATGAGGGAGCTGCTTCTGCTGCGCTTCTGAACTGCCCTAAAATATTTTTTTTAACAAAATATTTTTTTGAAGGAGGCATAGTGGCTTAGTGGTTAGCACTATCGCCTCACAGCAAAAAAGTTGCTAGTTCAAGTCTCAGCTGGGTCAGTTGGCATTTCTTTGTGGAGGTTGCATGTTCTCTCTGTGTTCGCATGGGTTTCCTCCGGGTGCTTCAGTTTCCCTCACAGTCCAAAGACATGTGCTATAGGTAAATGAGTGTATGAGTGTTTGTATGAAGGTGAGAGTGTATGGGTTTTTCCCCAGAACTGGGTTGCAGATGGAAGAGTATTCGTTGCGTTAAACATATGCTAGAATAGTTGGCGGTTAATTCTGGTGTGGTGACCTCTGATAAATAAGGGACTAAGCCGAAGGAAAATGAATGAATAATGGATATATTTTTTGAAATTCCAAAAGTACATGTCTATTTATCCCAGCAGGGTTGTTGTGGGTATCTAAACTAAATTAAAAGTGTAAGACCAAGTATTTGTCATTTTTACATTTTTAAATTGGCAGTATAATGTAATTGAATTTGATGTGGTGAAAAAACAGAAATAAAGGAAAATTTTAAAAAACATATTCAATTATATAAGAATGGGAAGAAATAGTATTGTTGAATATGAACCATAGACTGTAAAAGACATGGACATAGTATCTGTGACATCACCTATAGGTTTCTGAAGAGCACAAAAGAAGCTAAAAGCAGGCCAACCATTGCCGACCAGGGGAAACCAAACAAGGGCAAAGAGGTGGAGCGTGAGAGGAGCTACAGATGCCTGGTAGCATTTTGCTTTGATCGGCTTTTCTTTGGGAGAAATGTTTAATACTTCATTATCTGTGACTCGTTTGTGTTCTGACCACATGTGCTTGGTTGTACACTATATCAATAAAGTGTTTAGTCTTTAAAAAAATGTTGTAATGAATTGAGCAACTAAGAATTGTTCTTATGACGTTTTTCTACATGTGGCAAATGCAAATTATTTCCAAACAATTAAAATATAGTCTGTGTTAGTAAATGCAAGGCTATTTATAAAATCCAGGCGTAACCCTGTACACCGTTTCAGATGACTGTTTTATAGCCTACAGCTAATCAATCTGTCAGATTCTGAAGTGTATCATATTTCTAAAGAAAACTATAAATAATCTTAAATAAAACAAATACATTTATAGAGATGGTATATAAGTCTATAATTTCACTCATCTGAGAAATAGAGGCCATGTGAAGGGTTTGTGAACATAATTAAGTGCACACAGCATGCCATATCATCTGATAAATTTTAGAAATAATTCCAAAAAGCTACTGACTCTGTAAAGCCACATAAAAACAAAACAAAATGATGATATATATGCCGAGTTTAGCGGCTAATCAGCCGGAATCAGCTAAGGTGAAGTGACGGTGACCAGCGAGACCTAGCTGTCACTCAAGTGGCCACACCCTTAATTATGCAAACCTAAGATAAATGAAACAGATGAGTTATATAAAAATTCACCCCCCCTCACAGTTGTCGTGAAAGGTAATATTAACTATAAGAACCAAAATCGTTCTTTGCACCAGGCTGTAAACACCTTCATTTCTTTTGTAAAGTTGGCCATTTTAACAGTAGGGTCAATAGAAATTTGCTCTGTTATGGAGCCAGGACAAGTGGAATTTCGATGAAATGCAGTTTCAGTTACTTCTGTATTTGCTTCACGGAGAACAGCGGGAGGATGCCACTTGACATAAACATTTCCATCAAAAACTATTTTCCACCATGACAAAATAACTATTTAAATAAAATACAAAACCTATGTATTCTATAATAGGTTTAAGAATAACAACATTTAAATAATAATAATTATAATAATTTAATATAACTGTTTAAATTGTTTAAAAACTGCATATTATTAGTTTTTATTTTAATTACAATAACAATACAACTAAAACAATTAATAATAATAATAATAATAATAGTAATAAAATAATATTTTACTATATCTTTAAATGTTTTTTTTTATAAAACTGTTATATTTTAATAGATATTAACTAATGTATGCTTAAGAATTTACCTCAGAATCTGTCATTGTTATTTCATGATAACTAATATAAGCTAATAGGCAGTGGCGTAGCACAAACTGCGTAGGTCCACCTTCTGGAGGGCTTCACAATCACTTCACAAGCAAGGTTTTTTTTTTTCGATGGAAAAAAATTCATACAATAAGACTATGCTCAAGGCTGTCATACAATAAGACTATGCTCAAGCCTTGAGCATAGTCTTATTGTATGAATCATTAATGAGAAACATGTTTTGTGTAGCTATGGTATGTTATGGATTATAGTATTTTTACTGTTCATTAAATCAAACTAAACAACCAATTTATTCTGTTAATGATCGATTGACGCCAGTTTTCCTTCAAGGAAATTACAAAATTAACAAGCTTAATTTTGAGAGGGTCCCCACCGCAGCGTGTGTCCTGTATGCCCGTCTGCTTCACCATTGCTAATAGGCTATGTACCATAACAATATACATATACAGGTATATGTAAATAACTCTTTTAGACCATAGTTTTAAAATACTGAATAACATTTTCATGATTTAATATTAAAAGTCTAGCTCTGATACAAGGGGCTCTATCACACACCCTGCGCAATGTGGCACAAGGTGCGACGCAATTGTTATTTGCTACTTTCAGCTCGGCGCAAGGGTCATTTTGAGGTGTTGCGCCACGCTGTTTAAATGGCAAATGCATTTGCGCTTATATGTGCGCCCATAGGCGTTCTTGTCTAAAAAAGCAGGCGTGTTTTGGTGCGTTGCTGGCACGTTGCTATTTTGAGAAACTGTAATAGTCTGTTCTTTAGACCTGAACAAAGTCTGTCTATTGTCTGGCGCAGAGTGCACCTGGCTTACACACTGTTTAATACACACAAGATGTAGAGCAATACGCAAAAATCTTTACATATGAAAAAAAAAAACATAAAATATTAAGGATATATATAGGATATAATAAGGATATATATAGGATATAATAAGGATATATATATAGGATATAAATATAAAGGAATATTACAATGTTAAAAAACATTATTTGCTTGCCTACATGAATTTAAAAACCACTGCCTTCATACTTTCTTCATCTCAGGCTTTTTCAGTTCCTTCAATTTGCTTTTGTATAATATTATTATTATTTATTACATCCATATTTATTTTTGTTTTATTAAAAATAAGCTTAGATTTGACCACCTGTCAGGTTTTAGACCATATGGGGCACAGCATGTGTATTTGGATATAACTCAGGTTTTTGAGCACACTTTGTTATTATTGTTCGCTGGAAATTAGAACTGAATTTAGAAACAGTTTTAAAACAAATCTTTGCGCTTAACAAATGAAAGTAATTATTTATAGGCTAATTGATGTTTATGCGTAAAGGTTTCCCTATCCAAGAGAGCGAAAGTGGAAGTTAATAATTTATCTCTCATTCTTGCACTGTAGGTGCTTGGTTTAACAGTTTTCTTGCTAGTGAAATGCTCAGTTTTTACACGTTCACTTACTTTACGTCATGCAAATAGTAAATGCGCTTATGGCGCGACACAACTGGCTCTTAAAAGGAATGGGAGATGAGACTCTGATTGGTTTATTCTCAAAACATACCTATAACTCATTAAGAAAATAAACTCAACCCTTTTAGACCATGCGCCATGGCGCAAAGCGGATTTTTCCGTCCTTATATTAGCAAAAATGGATTCTGACATGCCCTGAAAGCGTTTGCGCCCAGCGTTTTGCACTTTGCGCATGGACCATCAAAATAGAGCCCAAGGATTCAACAATTCAATGTAAAAATCAAAAGGCAACTGAATGATAAATTACTGTGCCAGAGGTTGATTTTAGACAATATTGTGACTGAAAAAACAATCATACTGCTATTGGTTTACAGCAAGCAGGGCCGAGTTCATTGTATATGAGAAACAAGTGCAGTGAGTAAGAACGCCAGCCTTTGGGCAGTTCAAGGAAGTCACAGCTTCTGTGCAAATCACTAAAATGAAAAATGAAAAAAAAAAAAAATACAGTCGCAGAAAGAACTGCTATGTATTATGCAGTTATTAACAAAATGCAATTCTTCTATCCTTCATCCTGGGGAATCTTACCCAGCCACAGCTGGCAGCACAAACATCGCCAGCTCCACAGCTAATTATCAAATATCCACTGGGGCAGAAGTCTATTCCACTCCCTCCTTTGGTTTTATACTTATACCATCACACTTTTCCCCCCTTCCTCTCAATGGTGACAAATAGTTTTAATCTATCTCAGCTGGCCTGATCGAATCGCGCAGAGGCCTGGTATTGGATTGCCACTTTAAGAGTCTGCTGAGGTAGTTCAAAATCTCCTGGGAGTCCAGATGAGCCCCTGGCTTATTTTTTTGCACTTGATCTGAACGTATGTGTTTGGCTGTTGTGCCACTGATCTCCAGCACTACAAACTATGTGCATTAATAATAAGCCCCAATGGGCAAAGTGCATTTGCATAATGTGGACTGCAATACCACAGACAAGTGGTATTGAATTCTTGTCCATTAAAGACTACCTGTGGACTTGAGTGCATGTTTGGTATGACTGAATTCATCTTATTCCATGCTTCATTAACAGATGAACCTGTCAATGAAGGCTTATTGAGACTCGAGGGTTCGTCTGAGTGTAAATAATTCAAAAAGATATCTGAAGAGGGTTTTTGAGGATGGAAGAAACTATGCTCATTGTTTATATGTTTTATAAACACATAACAAAATAAAAAAAACAGTTTTTAAATTTAAGTTCAGTAAATCAAGAATCATGGTTTCAACTAAAACTAAAACTACAACCTAAGCTCATTAGAAATATGTGCCTCATCCGACATTTTTCCAAAATGTAAAATACATTGCTTCAGGTATTTTTCATTGGATGTTTCAGATGACAGATTCACTAGATGGCGCTGTTTACAGTTTACAGTTTTGATAATATGTAATTTAGAGTATGTTTTGTTATACTGTTTTATATTTTGTTATACTTTCAGATTAACATCTTTCTACACAAGAAAACGGGCCTTAAAATTGAGAAAACTCAATTTTATTTCTAATACATTTTTAACCAACCACAATAGGTACCGAAGTGCTGTACATGAAAACACTAAACACATGCAAACAAGCACGGAGCCAAAATACATAAACTCACAACAAATGATTAAAAGCTAAAGAAAATAAGTGTGCTTTCAGTGACCTCTGAAATGACTCCAAAGTAGAAGATGTTTTTAAAGAGAGTCGAAGATCATTCCAAAGTCTTGAAGCTGCTACTGTAATGCTGTGTTCAACCCTTCCCTAAAACCAACCAATAGTGTTTTCATGGGCAAGGGTAAAAAAAAAGGTGCACTGCGAACATATATTTGTAGCTTTATTTTACATTGCTTTTACATTTTTTTGTGGAATTGTGGTATACTGGACTAAAACCCAAGCACTTTGCATTGCAAGTACAACACATTACAAGATTAGTTACCAAGCAAACTGACCACGGCAACAAAAGATGTCCGTTTAGAGATAGATGGGTGAGGCAAATGTATTTCAATAAAAAATCCTAAAGGTTTTAAGCTGTTTTGTGGAATTTATTTGGTGTTGTGAAAAAGTACTGTACAAATTGAATCCTTTATTTGTCGATAATGTCACATATCATTAGTATGAAATGGATTTAAGGTTGCTGATGTCATACTGCCCTGTAGAATTAATTTCACCTTAAAATTGCAGTCAGACAAGTGTTTAAGTATTTGTTTAGTTTCACAAAAATGTAGGCTGAAGCACATATTTCCAACAAGTCTGTGTTATATGAAAAAAGAACACCTACTTTTTGGATGGCCTGGGGATGAGTACAATAATAGCAGATCTTCATTTTGGGGTGAACTATCCCTTCAACTTTTGATAATCTGTGATATTTTTGAATTAACTTGCAAAGCCACAATACAAATTTGTATATACCTCAATATGTGAATCACACTGGACATTGGAATGATTTTGCTGTTGCTGGTTAATGTTTAGGGAGGAACAGTGGCTCAGTGGTTAGTACTGTCACCTCACCTCAAGAAGGTAGCTGATTTGAGTTCCGGCTGGGCCAGCTGGCATTTCTGTGTTGAGTTTGCATGTTCTCTGCATGGTCACATGGGTTTCCTCCGGGTGCTCCAGTTTCCCCCACAAGTCCAAAGACATGCAGTATAGGTGAATTGGGTAAACAAAATTGGTCGTAGTTTGTGTGTGAATGCGAGAGTGTATAGGTGTTTCCCAGTAGAGGGTTGCAGCTGGAAGGGCATCAGCTGCGTAAAACATGCTGGAATAGTTCGCGGTTCATTTTGCTGTGGCAATCTCTGTTACATAGAGGACCAAACTGAAGGAAAATGAATGAATGAATGAATGAATGAATGAATGTTTAATGTTTTTTGTCTCTAAAACAAAAATTTTATATATATTTAAGCTATATATATATATATATAATTTTTTTTTTTTTTTTTTTTTTACTTACTTTTAATTCTAATTACACTACATCCGATTTACTGAGGCAGCACTGAGTTAAATCATCTTCAGATGTAAATATCACACAGTCACACACACTGATTGACAAGAGCTTCTCTGCGGCGGTGGATCTCTCCTCACCTGTCCACATGTCTGACAGGACGGGTCTGTAGGGAGATTATCCTCTGGGTCCTCCTCTCCATCTGAATCTTCCTCCGAGCATGACTCGAATTCATCCACAAAGTAAAATGCTTCTGCCGCCTGAGGATCCTCTGGGATTGCTGAAATGATCATAAAAAAATAGCACAGATTTAACTGATACTCTGAAATGTTGAGAAAAATGTTGGGATATGGCAGTCTCAGCCATTTACACTTTATATTTTCCATTTGATGACACTCTGCTGTCAGCATCCACCCAGATCTGAAACGTACAGAATATTTCAACACATTGTAAATAAATGAACACTGACAACCTTATACTTACACACACACACACACAGAGTTTCTGGGTCTGCAACCAAAGTGATTACACAGGTTCATACTTCTGATTCTATTAGAAAGCGACTGGACCTCTACATTCGAGACTCAGAGATGGCAGAGAGAGATGAGGGAATGAAAGTAGGGTATAAGACTATACTCTACTCTGTGGGGTCTCAACAGTTTCATTTTCTTTTACAGTGCTCTCCAAATGTCCTACAGACAAAATGAGAATAGTAAGGAATCAGTATGTGGATTTACACCTGTATCCCGTAAAAAGGGGATGTTTAAAAGATCCCATGAAACTAAAATAAAGCTTTTTGAGATATTAGGATCAGAATTGTTCATTTTTATGGTATCTACCATCTTTAGTTCTGCACCAAGATCCGCGTTTGGGAAATATAAAACTGATATAAACATGTAAAGCTTTTAGTTTTTAGTCATTTCTGCCTAAATGGTTTTATTCATGTCACCTTATACTTCAGTTTCTCATCAAATGTTGACCAATCAAATACTCTCTAGTACAGGGATCACCAATCTTTTTGAAACTGACAGCTACTTTTTGGGTACTAATTAATGTGAAGGGTCAATAGTTTGATACACACTACTCTAATAACAAATTTGCTCAATTGTCTTTTAATTATATGTTATTGTTCATAATTAATGATCTTCATCTATGTGAAGATACTGATCATGTTAATGATTGTCATTCTCACAATAGTTGTCAACAATGATTTGTAGGTAGGAAACAGATAAATATCAATATGCAACACTTTACTTCTATAAATCTCTGAACGTACAGTATTTCCATTATTAAATGATCATTTCTACAATATTTTCACTAGTCATTGACAATTTTAAACGATTCATGCACTAAAATGTACCATGTTTGTAAATCAATTGTGTAACATAAATCAACCTTTAGATTTTACTGAAATTATCACCAAATCTACAGCATTTTTAACATAGCCGAGACTCTTTTAACCATTGTAGTTGCCTCGAGTTGGACATCGAAGAGAGTGGAGATTACATTCATTCCTGTCTTTAAGCACAGTTTTGTTTTTTTCTGTCTGAAAACGCCTTGTTTTTCTAATCAAAAATGTGTATCTCTAAATGAGGCTTTGATTGCAGCTTATTGAGGTTTTTCATTGGTCTCGTGAATAAAAGACTGCTGTTTTCACAAACCTTCCTTAAATTTGCAGACTTTTTCCACTTGTAGTGCATTGCCTGGTGGGTAGTTAGTAAGGTAACACTAGCTTTTCGTGACATATTCTGAAATGTCTCTCAAAATTGTGCCGCTTTGCCTTTGCCCCATAAATGAGATAGAAAATCTTCCTCCTATTCACTGTGAAAATTATGTTGTTGTTTATTTCTGCCATGTTTTCAAATCATCTCCTCCCCTGTACCGCACCAGCAACCATCGTTGTGGAGACCAGCTAGCTGTGATCTAATATAAAATATTTTGTAAGATTTTTTTTTTAAGTGACTTATTGTCATTGTCAAATTTACACCAATGCAAGTGAGATTTAAAAAGAATAGCTACAAAAAATTATTAGATGCAGCTTACTGGTAAGTGGTGCTATGGTGAGCTATTTTTAGATCAGGCCCGCATGTTGGTGACCCTTGCTCTAGTATCTGATATGCCCCGCCCCCTTCAAGAAGCTTCACATTCGCTTCTCAATTGATGCGCTTGAGCTCAAGCACTTTCACCGGCAGAGCTGTGATTTAAATTGAAAAGTTATTTGCTGTTTTTTTTTTTTTTTTAAGTGGATCTACTTTATGCCCCACCCTCTCTTGATTTTTCAGTTGAGATTAAGTCAAACATGGAATAAAAAAATACACATTTCAAAGCACTTCACAGGACCTTTAAAATACTCACACATAAGCTAGTCTTTAAGGAAAGGTCATGGTTTGGCTTGTGACACTTTTACACTGTCGCCGCAGGTGTTTTTATGGTCTACAGGTTAAACTGAGTGAAGACAAATGTGATTTCAGCAGTGAAACATCCTCCAGATTGAGATTTCACTGAGGATACAATATTATTTCGCAGCAGGATAGGGCTGCACAATATATCCAAAAAAATTATCATTATCGTCATAATAGTATATGCAGTATCCACACTGCAGAGAAGTGCAATAAATTACATTTTATTTAGCAATCATTTGTGTGCTGCATGCATACAAAAGGTTGATCAATCAGACGTGGCCTTACAATCTTTATCCCCAGCTCTCCAGTAGGAGCTGTTAGGTGAACCTAAAGCTGACAATATTTAAAGCCAATAAGAATCTAAATATACGCATTTTTTTCAGTCATTTGTGGTTAAGTCTTTATTATTTTATAAAGGTTGTTTATTTATTTAATTAGTTTTAAAAATAGTATTATTATTTTAATTGATGATAAAATTGCATTTTTATATCGTAAGAAATATCATTATTGCGGCAGCACGGTGGCGCAGTGGGTAGAACAATCGCCTCACAGCAAGAAGGTCGCTGGTTCAAGCCCCGGCTGGGTCAGCTGGCGTTTCTGTGTGGATTTTGCATGTTCTCCCCGTGAGTGGGTTTCCTTCGCGTGCTCCGGTTTCCCCCACAAGTACAAAGACATGCGCTATTGGTGAACTGAGTAGGCTAAATTGTCCGTAGTGCACGTGTGTGAATGAGTGTGTATGGATGTTTTCCAGTGACGGATTGCAGCTAAAAAGGAATCCGCTGCGTAAAACATATGCTGAATAATATGGTGGTTCATTCCGCAGTGCAAACCCAGATTAATAAAGGGACTAAGCCAAAAAGAAAATTAATGAATAAATATTGTTATCGCATCACTCAACAACATTGCATTTTTTCCCAGTATCGTGCAGCTTTAGAGCAGGTTGCAGACTGTGATTGGGCTATTTTCAGCATGTTTTGAAGAACAATCAGGCTTGTTTTGTTATGCAGACCTGGATATGTTCGTATATATATATATATATATATATATATATATATATATATATATATATATATATATATATATATATATATGTTTTTTTTAATGTCATTTATTCCTGTGATGGTTAACTAGAATTTTCAGATGGCATAACTCTCTTCCGTGTCACACTCTAGAAATCCTTTTTTTGCTGATTTAGTACTCAATCATAAGCATATATTGTCAGTTCTCAATTATTAAGAATGTTTACTATTAATGTACAAACTGTTTCTTTTTTTCAAAATTGTTTGATGCCTAAAACATTTAAATATATTTGATACACAGTTAAAGTCAAAATTATTAGCCCACCTTTAATTTTAATTTTTTTTACACATTTTTAAATAATTCCCAAATGATGTTTAAAAGAGCACAGAAATTTTCACACCATGTCTGATAATACTTTTTTTTATTTCAGAGAAAATCTGTTTTATTTCAACTAGAATAAAAGCAGTTTTTTTACTTTTTAAATACCATTTTAAGGACAAAATTATAAGCCCCTTTAGGCCATTTTTTTCTGATTGTCTACAGAACAAACCATCTTTATACAATAACTTGTCTAATTACCCTAACCTGCCTAGTTAACCTAATTAACCTAGTTAAGCCTTTAAATGTCACCTTAAGCTGTATAGAAGTGTCTTGAAAAATATCTAGTCAAATAATATTTACTGTCATCATGGCAAAGATAAAATAAATCAGTTATTAGAGATGAGTTATTTAAACTACTATGTTTAGAAATGTGTTGAAAAAAATCTCTCCATTAAACAGAAATTGGGGAAAAATAAACGGGGGGAAAACTGTATATATTGAATTATTTAATTTAAGTTAAATAACTTTTCAACACTGATAATGATAGAGTAATGATGCATGTAAATAATTCATCTTTGCTATCATAGAACTAAATTACATTATAAATCATATCAACAAAAACAAGTTACTTCAATGTTTTTAAAAATATTTGTATTTTTCATCAATTAAATGTCTTGGTGAGCATGAGAATTTTTTTTTAATTCCTTCAAACTTTTTAACACTAGTGTAATGTATCTTTTTGCAACCCTGTTTATTTAATCATTATTACTTGCTTTGCCATTTAATTTAGCCAACGAGGGCAATATCCTACTCTGTTTTCTCTGTTGTTGTGGACAAAAGGATGTGCAACCTGCAATTTAGAATTAAAGTGTAGAGTCATAGGAGCTCATTTACAACACAACAGCTCTGTTTTATCTGGTAAAGAGGATTAGTCATGACAGCGAGCAGAAAGCACAGACTACAGAATCTCAGTGCAAGACGCTCAGTCATTTCAAATGATCGTGTGTTCAGACCTCAGTCCTGCCTCATTGACTCTGTTTATGTCTGTTTTATACTGAAACCTCCTGACAGAATATAAACGAGTGGCCTCTGCTAGGAGAATGTCTAAACATTTTTAACCCTTTATTGTGCACTCTTAGAACATTCAATTGTGTTCCTGACATTTTTTTGTTTTGTTTTAATGACAACCCATAGACCTTTTTCTTAGAAATGCCTAATTTTGTTAGAAATTACCCACTATTCTTTCAACTTCCAGTGAGCAGCTGATGCGTATAAAAAGTCACATTCGGACAGCTTTGAAAATATAGTTTTAATCTATTTGAATCGCTTTTAATGTCTTTGAACTAATATTGCTGTCGATCAGGGCCAATTCCTGGACTGGTTACTTAAATAATGTGATCTAATAGGATGGAAAACAACTGCTGCAATTTTACCTTCGTTATCAGACGGCATCTTGGAGCTCCGTCATCGCTAAAGTCAATATTTTCTCTTCTTTCAAAAATATAACCAACTTAAACAACTGTAATTCACCAAAATG